TATGGTCTGGTTTCCCTCATGAATGTGGTCTCGGCGTTGTCTGATTAGTCACTGTCGCTGTGAATGGCATATTGATACACATACATACATGTTGTACCAAAAAAAAAAAAAAAAAAAAAAAATTAAAATCCTATTGTTACCAACGGGCTTAGCTAAGTTGGCATACCCATCTTTAAAAAAACTCGCATCTTGAAATACCGACAGGAGTTCAAATTTCAAAAACTTCAAATCCAGATGGAACCAAATGAACGAAAAAGAAAAAAGAAAAAAACAGCATATTGTTATGTGCGCAAGCTTCGAGCCCGAGCAACACTCACCACAGGCCAACATCTTGAATGAATTGGGACCTCCATTGGCCCCAATACATTCAAAATGTCAAAATTTGGCAGTGGTTCGGCGAGCCCCAAAGGCTCAGAAAGCACAGACCAAGCAACAGCATGCTCAAAAAAAAAAAAAAAAGGTCAAAGGACTTCAAAGAAGGAGCTTACCTGGAGTTCATTCATTTTCCCTTCTAGCCTTTCCATTTGCGCTCCATGGTTCTTCGAAGCTGACCGTTGATGGTTACAAAGAATAGCGACCTGCCAAAAGACCAACAAAAGAAACAGAGAAGAAAAACAAAAACAAGAAACGAAAGTGCACGACGTCAGAGAAGTCGTTCCATCAAGGAACCCACATCCAAACCGATTGGTCCAAGAAAGTAAAATCATCCAGCCTCGTTCCGCCACTCGCCATTTGTGACAATGGGCCTCTCCACTGCTCACAATATGCACAAAAAACAAAAAACATGGCGTTCACACATCTTCCCATGTTCAAGTGTAAGATTCATTCTCATTCTGCACATTTGGCGAGTGGTAACGTAGCGAGGCCCAACGGTGGATCTCTCTGGACATATAGGACCACAGATGGACTCACTGTTTTGATATTTGCCTAGTTGCGCAACTACCGTCTATTCGGGTGAAGACGGAAGGCCGTTACTCTTCTTCGACCCTCAAAAAAGCCAAATTCGACACGACAACTTCCCATCGAAGACTCAGCAGCGAGGCGATCGATTATCCCGCACGCTCTAAGGGCATGGAGAAAAGCTGACAACATTCTTATCAACAACCTGCCACTGGAACCGTTTCACAAGCAATGAACACCCTACTAAGCCTACTGTCTCCCCCCGAACACAACGCACCCTCATTTTGCCTATATCGACACCCTCCTAAGCCTACCCTACTGTCTTCCCCCGAACACAACGCACCCTAATTTTGACTGTATCAGGCTTGAAACATACCTTGTATACATTCATTTTCAGGGTGCGTTGTGTTCAGAGGAAGACGGTAGGGCAGGCAAGATGGGGAGAGCGTAAAGGGAGGCAAGGCACTCTCAGTCCCACCCCACTCCCGACCCCTCGGCTCTCCTATCCATGGGGGAGAGGGGTCAAGGACCCTCAGCCCCACCCTACGGACATGGTGACGTGTCGAAAACACTCTCATCGTCCAACCACTGAACCTGGTCCACAATCAAACGCCCTCCTCAGCCTACGTTGAGGAGGTGAGAGGGGGAGAGGGGGAGAGGGAGAGAGGGGGAGAGGGGGAGAGGGGGAATGGAGGCCAAGGAACCTCAGCCCCATCCCACTGCCCGCCCGTAGAGCCAGAGGTGAGATGGAGAGAGGGGGGAGGTAGGCCAACGACCCGCAGCCCCACCCTGCTCCCTGCCCCTACATCGCCAAACTAACTGGCAGCTCGACAGGACGCCAAGCATGCCTCTAAGGGGAGGAATGAACGAGGAGTAGCTTGGATGACACCAGTTATGCACATAACAGAAGGTGGCCATTGGCATCTCTCTGATGCCCATCAATGTTCTCGTTGATGCCTGTTGAAAATGATCAGACAAGGAAAACACAAATGCCCCATACAGAAGCACACCTCTTTGATCATTCGTTGATTGGTCGTTGATTGGTCATTGATTGGTCGTTGATTGGTTGTTGATTGATCATTCATTGGTCGATGATCGGTCGTCTGATTAGACGGCAGCAGGCATGCTCCCGCAGCCACTCACCTCTTTGTTTGCCCTCTGGTAATCTGCTACCCGCTCTACCACGTTGCTTCCAACCGTGTCTTGCAACTACAGAGAAACACCAAACAGAAGCACATCGGCACAGGGTTTTGTACGAAACAACCAACCAAACAAACAAACAATCAGAAGCATAAACACCATACCGCCCCGTGTCACACGAAATTCACCCCCATGACTGTACCTGCTACAGAGATCAAGCCCTCGTGAAGCATGTACCAGCCACAGTCTGAGCAGCTTTGGGAGGGGGAAGGGGCAGGTTCGGACAGCAGGGATGGAATATCTGAGAGTACACTCAAGGATGGACATCAAGAACATTACAGGGGCGAAAGAAGCAGGAGGAGAAGAAGAAGAAGAAGATTGCGGAAAAAGAACAGTAGGCATGGAAGAAGGGAGGAGTGGATTCTGAAAGTTGGAAGTGCAGGTCCCGACGGAGCAACACAGGCGAAGATAAAGAACAGCAGGCAAGGTCGAGAGGTCCTCCGGGACATCCATTCAAATTGGGAACAATACAGAGAGACAAGATTAGCATGCACACTGCACATGGATGACACACATAAATCGAGAAATAGTCCGAAATTCTAATTATAAAAAAGAAAAACAAATAGGCAAGGTGGAGAGGTGTTGCATCCATGAAGGCATGTAGCAGCAGATTGGGAACAGGTTCGTAGCAGGTTCAGGGTCAAATCGTGCAGCAGGATTACAACAGCATGCATCTGTACGAACTGCGATACAAAAAAAAAGGCAAAATAAAAAGGCGAAAAAAGATGAGTTTAACTGTGGTATCTGTTCTGATCGGTTCAATCTTGCCTCCATGCCAAGGCAAAAAAAGGCTAAAAAAGAAGGCCAAAAAAAGGCGAAAAAAAAAAAAAAAACACTGCAGATGGAGCAGACCCAGTGTAACAGAGCAGCACACTTTGAAGCAGCAGAGGATCAGATCGCATGCTTCGTGAGTGCAGGTACTTCCTTAGTATGCAGTGTACTATGCACACATATAAGGGGGTGGGAGAAGTTCTCTGCAGGCCATCTATCAAAAAAATGAATAGTAAATAAATTAATACATAAATATTAAATATTAAATAAATACGACATGCCGGTACCTGCCTGTCTCTGTAGGGAACACACCTGCTGGCAATTGATCAAAGAGGTCAAAGGGTTCAATTCCTGGTGTTGAAATAATGGCAGGGGCTGGCCCCTTTGAAAAAAGAAAAGAAAAGAAAAAACACAAAAAACAGAAATCCTGTTCTGATTAAAACAAAACAAAAAGAAAAAACACAAAAAAAACATGACATGACCAGCGTGACAGTCAGATTGTACCTCGATGTCTAGCAAGCCAGGTGCATTCTGATACACGTGGATGTGGTTGGAGTGCACGTGGATGTACAGCAAACCAGGTGCAACTCACCAACCTAGCACACTAGGGCAGAGGGTAGAGATGGAATGACAGCCACCACAACTCACCAATCTATCCAAAGTGATGGACGCGTTGTATGTACGGAAGACCTTTGCGGTCAAGCCGGGCATAATTTCCTTCAGATGCTGATTTAGCTTATTGGTATCCAGCCTATCGAACAGATCATCTCCAGGATCCTTTCCTGACATGTCAGTCAGACATCGAAGAAACGACAACCGATCGCAAGCACATCCATCTTAGCAATATAAGCAGAAAAACACTAGCGGGCGGCCGGGAAGTTGAACAGGAAAAAAAAAAAAAAAAAAAAACTGCCCTTTGACATTCGTCACCAATCACTCAAGGTGATTCGGTCCAGTCAAGCGTGGCACTCCCGGAGCTTCGCATACTGCACACTATGTTCCAAGAGGCCAGCATGCACCATGCGAATACACACACACACACACACACACACACACACACACACACACACACACACACACACACACACACACACACACACCTCGGTCATACTTGCTTTGCGGGGTTGTATATAGCAAACATGACAACATACACACACATCATCATCAAGATTCCTTTCCATGCGGCGTGCGAATACACACACACACGCACGCACGCACACACACACACACACACACACACACACACACACACACGCGCAAACACACAAACACAAACACAAACACGCATGCTTGCTTTGTGGAGTTGTGCACAGCGAACATGACAATATATACACAAACACACATCATCAAGATTATTTTCCAAATCGGAGAGAACACATTCACACAAACAACCAAGCCTGTCTTCCAGGTCTAGCAAGAAGATCCATTTCATTCATAGTCAGGGAGAGAGGAAGATAGCACACACGCACACACACCCACACCCACACATACACAAAATCAAGATTCCTTTCCTTGTCTATCATAAACATGGATTTGACATGTAGCCGTGGAGAGGAGGAACACAAAACACACCTGCGAACACACACACACACACACACGCGCGCGCGCGCGCGCTCGCTCACGCACACACACCAAACAAACAAATAAAAAAACGCCATTCTTTTCCAAGCCTGAAATGAAGATGGATTGGATATTGAGTGAGGAAGAGAGGGAGGCAGAGCAGGAGGTGGTAGGACTAGAGTAAGAGAAGCATGCGAAAAGGGGTAAGGGAGCAGGGATTAATCAGAGAAATATATTCAAATGGACAACAGTGCTTTCTTTCTAGAAAGCCAATCTATTTTTTATTTTTTTTTCTTCTTTTCTTTTCTTTCCCTATCTACTTCTAGAGAGAGGAGGAGAAGAAGACCATGAAGAGATTGAGGAGGGCAAGCTGAGGGGACTGGACGAGGAGGAAAGTGGAGAAAGGAGAATTAATAGAACGGTGAAGACAGAAGTAATAACGCGGTGTTAGAAGAGGGGAAAGGAGCGGAAGAGAGGTAGCAGAACAGAGAAGAACATAACACGACATTCGAAGAGGGGGAGGGAGCAGAGAAGAGGTGGAAAAAATAAACCTGAGGCCAGAGAGGGGGAGAGGATGGGAGGAAAGTAGCACGTGAAGGGTAGGCATGAAGCGTGGAACAGAGGGAAAAGGGGAAATCAAACAAAGGAGGGAGGGAGCGGAAGGAGCGGAGGAGAGAGGAGGAACACATGATGAGCAGGAGAGAGGGGAAAAGCAGACGACGCGAGAAACATACCAAAGCTCAGAAGAGAAGAGGGAGAGACATAACATGCTCAGTCAAAGATAGGCAGCAAAAGCGATGGAATAGCTCAAACCTTCTTGGAAATCGCCAATCGCTCGGTAGACCCGGTCGTCCACTTCTACAGTGTTGAAATATCGAATCGAGTCCTTACCCAAGAAATCAAACTGCGAGGTCACATTTCGAATCCAACAGGGGTCCCAACACAAGAAACAGCTAGAAAATCAGACCCAATTCCAAACTAGCGCAGATGCAGACTGCTGCAGAATGGTCAACCACAGCCAAGTGACCCAAATGCCCTCGCTTCAGTCACGGATGAGTCGACAGTTAGAAACCCTGCTCAATGCAAAATGCTCGTCCAAGTCCGTGAGGTCATTTTGTATCCAACAGGAAATCCAACACAGGAAACAGCTAAAAAATCAGACACGATTCCAAAACTAGCGGCCGATGCCGAATGCTGCAGAATGCCCAACCACAGTCGAGTGACCGAAATGCCCTCACTTCAGTCGCGGATGAGTCAACAGTTCAAACCCCGGCTGAATGCAAAATGCTCGTCCAAGTCTACACCGAGTGTCGCCGCGTTTCACATAATGACCACACAGAACACAGTTCATCTTCGCATGTTATACATAAATATGGCTACATTCAACCAAATGTCTCCCATAAAGTCAGCCAAATGTCACCCATTCCAGCCTCCTCGACTGTTTTTTTTTACCTTTTCGTCTTTTTTTTTCGTCGTCTTCTTTTTTTGTTTCTTTTTCTCTTTCCTTTTTACTTTCTTGTTTTTTTTTTTTCATCTTTTTTACTTTCTTGTTTTTTTTTTTCATCCTTTTTCTGTTATTCGTCTTTTCTTTTATTATTTATTTCTTTTCTTTTACTTATTTTTCTTTTATTAATTTTCTTTCTTTTTCACTTTTTTTGTTTTTCTCTTTCCGTTTTTCTTTTTTCTTTTTTTTCCCTCCTTTTTTCTTTTCTTCTTTTCTTCTTTTATTCTTCTTTTTTTTATTCTTCTTTTCATTTATTATTGTTTTACTTTTCTCTTTTATTTCTTTTTCCTTAATTTCTTTTTCTTTTATTTATTTTCAGTTTTTATTTATTTTTCTTTTTTTTTCCTTATTTCTTTTCTTTCTACAGTCAGGGCCTTGCACTCCTGGCTCCTTTCGCAGCGAGGCCTCACCAACACTCGACAACGATCCTTCCTGCTTTCTGTCATCATTCCCCTTGAATCAAGCCCTCTACGTCCAAGTTCTCTCGATTGCTCTTTTGTGCGAGATGCCCGACAAAGTTACACGTCTCTATTTGACCAAACGGTAAGGTCCGCTTCCGCTGCGAATGCAGCGAGGCCTCACCACCAACACTCGCCAACGACATGCTCACCTGCAGAGACCTCGGAGCAACAAGAGTTACGTGTTCAACTTTCAATGAGCAGCAACCTACTGTGTCCGCCTCATCGTCATCCTGCCAAAGACAAACAGCAGCTCCAATTGTCACAAAAGAGGGTCGAAACAGCCGTGACAGAACCGATCACAAACGAAAGGTGACGCAGCCACAAAAGACAAGAAGCTCCACTTGTCACAAAAGAGAGTTGAAACAACAGTGACCGAACACATCATAAACAAAAGGTCACACAGCCACAAAAGGCAAGAGAAAGGAGAAAGCCCGGAGCACACACATCACATCCTCCGTGGCTATCATTCATAATTCGCAGGTCGGAGGTACAAATCGCCAAACCCTGTATGCACGCACGTGTGTGTTCCAAAAAACTAAAGCCGTCGAAGATAACATCCTACGAGGCTGAATGGTACGCAACTGCAACTGCCAATTAAGCTGAATTAACAGATCACGGGTTCAATCCCCGACCGATACGATAATTATTTATTAGTAATGTTAGGGGGCTAGCGCCTCATGAGAACAAAAACAGAAAGAGAGAATCATGGAGTTAAGCATGTGAAGGGGTGGGATGGTGGACCCAAAGGAGTCCAGTTCATTTCAATCAGGGTTCGATCTGTATCAAACGATGCCGGCCCATGGGACTCGCTGGGACTCTCGCTGGGAGCTGCTAGCGCAAGTTATAAGCGTCTTTGTCCACAGACACCAGATCTAGAGAAGTAGGTTGATGGCTGAAAGCACAGGCCGCTGACAGACGCACGTCCTCGTTTTTTCTCTTAAAAAGACGGAACAGTGACGACTTCCCGAGTTGAATCCTTATCTTTCTTTATTTTCTTTCCTTAGAAAACCCCAGCAGGTTGCGCTGATGAAACTCAGAAAATACAGCACATCTGAAAATATTTTCAGTGAGCTGATGATGCTTGCCATCATATCCCCACCAATTGATGGAATCCACCCCAATTAAAACCACCGCGATCCTCGAGGGGTGGGAAGAGAGGAAGGAGGGGCSGGGGGGGGGGGGKGGAGATCACAGCGTCTGGGCTTGCTATTCTAGTGCTACCTTAGAAGACTAGGCTAACATGTGGCATGCTAGGGTTAACCATCTTCATCATAACTTTGGGTGGAAATCACACCGTTTGGGCTTGCTATTCTAGTGTGCCTTAGAATGGGCTAGTCGAAGTCAAAGAGACCAAACAAAAAAGTGCAGCCAGGTGCGAGTATGCCCCTAGAGATGACATGGAAGTCAATAGCATCCCATACCTTAACATTTCCTTTTCTTGTTTTTTTTCCTCTCTTTTTTTTGGAGGGGGCGGTGGGGGGGGGGGGAGACATCCGTGAGGGCATCCTTCCTCGGTCGGGGATTTGAGCCCCGGCCCGGGCCCGGTGAAGGGACATAGTAGACATACCTTTTCATTTCCTGCTCTCAGTGCCAACCGATCAATTAGATATGTCGCGACCGCAATCTGTCTTTTCTCGGTTGAGTCCGAGGCAAATGCTTTTTCGTAGTTCCGTCGGATATTGGCGATGTAATCCTGCAAAAATTACACACAAGTAATGCACTTTACCTTTAGAGATGTGCAACATTCATGCCAGCGCTCATAAAGCAATGGGAGCAAAGAATTATAATACCCAAAAAAAAAAAAAACAAGGCTACCAGAGTCATGCAAGACGGCTTGCTCAGCTGGGCCAAAAAAAAAACAAACCCCAGTCAATTCTCTAATAAATTGCCTTTCCAAAAACAAAAATCATTTTTTATTTTATTTTCTATCTATAATTCGGTAAGGACTTTCAATGTGACCCTGAGGCAAAAGTTGTTCGGTTTATTTTTCGGCATAACATAGTTCAGATTTTTTTAATTTTTTTTTTTTGAGGGGGGGCGGGAAAGGGGAGGGGGTTGCAGGGACCTTCCGTGGCCCTTGCCCGGCCGCCCGGGCAACAAAGGTGACAGGAACATAGTTCTTTTCAGCTTTTTTTTGGGCGGATTTTCTTTTCTTTTTTCTTTTTCTTTTTGTTTTTGGGGGGGGGGGGGGGGGGGGGGAGGGGTGCGGGTTGCAGTGACCTTCCGTGGCCCTTGCCCGGGCAGAACCAAGGTGACCGATGCGGCCCAGTTCGTAGCCCTGATGACAACAACATATTGGTTACATAGAGATTCCATCAAATGTCGTTCTATTTTTAAGCATCCTCTGTCTGGTAGTACCATCCATGTTATCTTTAATCATATCTATCATTCATGTCGAAGCTTTTTTTTTATCATAAGATTTAAAATTAAAGCAAAAAAAACTACGGTTCAACAAGGAAAGAACCAAACGCTAACAGCCGCCCTCCTCTGTGTCGCGTTCTTTCGTCTATAGAAAGACAGCTACATCTGCAAACAACCGAGAGGAGAGAGAGAGAGAGAGAGAGAGAGAGAGAGAGAAAGGGGGGAGAGAAAAGGGGGGAGAGAAAAGGGGGGAGAGAAAAGGGGAGAAAGTCAAGCTGATATACGCCATCAACTAGGATAACACTGTCTGCACAGTAATGGAAATGCAAGGGCACCTCCCAGAGAGAAATGCACACTGGGCATGCAGGCAGCACACAACATGGATTTCCATTTAACATCTTATTTATGTTTCCCTCAGCAATTGGTCAGAAGCGTTCGACCGTAGCACAATTAGTGAAAATTCTTTCAGAAGCGGGTGCTTTAGAATATTCTATTATTGTGGCAGCCACTGCATCAGATCCTGCTCCTCTTCAATTTCTTGCTCCTTATGCAGGTTGTGCTATGGGAGAATTTTTCCGAGACAATGGAATGCACGCTCTAATTATCTATGATGATCTAAGTAAACAATCAGTCGCATATCGACAAATGTCATTATTGTTACGTCGACCACCAGGTCGAGAAGCTTTCCCAGGAGATGTGTTTTATCTACATTCTCGTTTATTAGAAAGAGCTGCCAAAATGTCAGACCAAGCTGGTGCAGGTAGCCAATACAACTTAAGATTTCCTTTTAGACCACCACTACCTCCGATCCGGTTAATGCCGAGCCTGATTTTCACAGCGCACCGAGTTTTGCTGAACCGGGGCAGTTTCATCCACAAGGGGAAAAAAAAAAAAGAAAAAAAAAAGAAACTTCCCGAACGCCTCGATAACCACCAGATACGTTCTGTGAGGTAGTCGTGTGTCTGTGCCCTCAGTGAGGGCGTGTTGCGGACAAACAATGGGAAAAGAAAAAGAAAAAAACGGCTCCCTTATGCTGTGATTGAGGGCGGGTACAGGATGCAACAGCATTGAGACAGTTGCGTGCCACGCGTGAAATACGCCCTGACTGGCTGGCAGGGCACTACAACAACCTGAAAACAAAAACAAAAACAACAGCAACCTATTCCCCACATAGTGGCCAGGTACATTCCTCAAAGCATTGGTGTAACCTTTTTTTTTTTTTTTTTTTTTTTTTTTTTTTTTT